TTTCCATCAATGTGTGAGAGAAGAGCACTGCACTTTAAATCTGTTAATTTCTTTTTAAATGTAAATGTGTTTACGCCCCAATCGACCCAGTTTAGATATATTAGGAGGCGAGCTTCCACCTTGCCTGTCAGGCCACTTGGGCAGAAGGGGATACAGTGTCCCAGCAGAAAGGCATAGGTACTCGATAGAAATTCTCCCCACACGGAAATCGAACCCAAGTCTTCTGCGCGCGACAGAGAAACGCCTAAACTCTGTACTACATGTATAGACGGCGGTAAGAGCAAGATAATTGGCAGGAGAGTTTCTTGTGTGTGAGGACAAATTGCTGAACCGCTACAACACAGACGCAGGTACATTTTTGTTGGTTTGTTGGTTTGTTTTGTGGCAGTTTATTTTTAATTGAACACTCAATATATTAGAGTGCGGTGGCGGAGCGGTAAGTGCGCTCGCCTCCGAAGTGGAAAGTCTGGGTTCGAGCCTCGGTTCGGACACGGATATTTTTCGCCCCCTCCGGCCCACCCAGCAGTAATGGGTACCTGACTTCCGAGTTGGGGAAGTAAGGGCGACGTGGAAAGGAACTTGCCACCCTACCACAATATGCCGAAGACCCAAGAAGTTGTCTCAGTAACATGACAATCCCCAATGTCCGGATCGGAAGCGGGAACAACTTAACTTTTACTCAATATATAACCTGTTTAGATAGCATTGCTAATTGTGATCCATTGTCTCTATCAAGGTCGATTCTTCCAAGTATCCTTTTGATCAACACCTGTGTCCTGTCCTCATTAATCAGTGGATGGACGACAAATCGAGGGTAATGACACTAAGGCAATCTAATTCAGAATAATGCTGCCAATTAATTATCTTGACTCTACCAGCGTCTCTGTGGTATAGAGTTTAGGCGCTTCCACGCCACACGCAGAAGACCTGAGCTCGATTCCCGTGTGGGCAGAGCTTCTATCGAGTCAACCTATGTCTATAAATGCGCGACGCACTCGCGCGCGTATGTGTGTGTGTGTGTGTGTGTGTGTGTG